GCAGAGGCCCCTGAGACAGTCCACCACATACCTGCAGGGTGTAAGATGCTGGCCGGGAAAGCAAACATGGAACGCCACAACCAAGTGGCTGGCATCGTGTACAAAAACATCCGTGCAGAGTATGGACTGGAAGACCCACAGTCAAAGTGGGAAATGCCCCCTAAGGTGGTTGAGAACGAGAGAGTCAAGCTCCTGTGGGACTTCCAGGTTCAGGGTTCTCTCAGGATAAGTGCAGCACTCTACCAGTCAGACGTTTTAATAAAACTGAGTAATTTCTAACAGCTCAGGAAGATGCCTGAGAGAGAGAGAGAAGGTGCGAGTGTTGCAGGTGGTGTTTAACCCATCCTGCACCTTGTGCTGACCTCTGTTACTTTCCATTCACGTAGTGATGTTGCAGATGCATTCAAGTACATAATTTGTATCATCAAAGAAGCTTTTTGTGATTTTCAAAGCCCACATTTTGCATCATAATCTGTTCTCTAACCCAGTGGTTCCTCTCCCCGCTGTGAGAGAATACCTTCATCACAGTCTTCTGCTGCGAGCCAAATGTGTGAACATTTCTGGATCCAGTTCTCTCAAACAGCCTTAGTGTGTGAAAAATGGCTCATGACCTAAGTATTTAGTCACAGTTTCATCACTTCATTAACATCCCTAAGAGCTGGTGGCAACAAAAACTTTTAGGGATTTCTTTTTGTGCAGAAACAAGAGTTTGAGTCTAAAAAGGAAAAGAATCTAAACAATCCACAGTTTCTTGTGCAAAGTATAAAAAATGATATCAAATATGCATGAATTCATTGGATATGATTTACTTTTGATTAGGTTAGACTTAACCAGACTTACAGGAACTTTAATAGTTTTGTAGTTAAAACCTTTAAGATTAATCTAATTGGAGATTGGGTTAGAAACTTCAATAAACTAAAATGAATTGAGTCAAACTGGATAGAATCAGAATGTTGTTTTCACACTTGAACAATCCTGACAGGTGGAATGACTTCATGACAGTATTAAATACTAATTCTGGTTTAACTTGAACATTTCTACTGGGAAAATTGTCTGAAAGAAAAGTTGAGTGGGGTAGTGATGGTGGGGGAGGATGCCGGTCAGACCAGGCAGGCCCAAACGTATCGCGAAGGTCTGCTGGGAATGTCTGGCAGAGTCTCCTGTCAGAAGGAGCTTCAATTCCCACCTCAGACAGAACTTCCAAAATGTTCCGGGGGAGGCGGGGGCCATTGAGTCTGAATGGACCCTGTTCTGTGCCTCCATTGTTGAGGCGGCCGACCGGAGCTGTGGTCGCAGGATCGTCGGTGCCTGTCGTGGTGGCAACCCCCGAACCCGCTGGTGGACACCGGTGGTTAGGTATGCTGTCAAGCTGAAGAAAGAGTCCTATCAGGTCTTCTTGGCCTGTGGGACTCCAGAGGCAGCTGACAGGTACCGGCAGTCCAAGCGGAATGCAGCTCGGGTGGTCGCCAAGGCAAAAACCCGGGCATGGGAGGAGTTTGGTGAGACCACGGAGCTCATTCCCAGTAAGAGTTGGACTCCGCCAAGGCTGCCCTTTGTCACCGATTCTGTTCATAACCTTTATGGAGAGGATTTCTAGGCGCAGCCAAGGTGTGGAGGGCATCCGTCTTGGTGGCCTGAGGATCGGGTCTCTGCTTTTTGCAGATGATGTGGTCCTATTGGCTTCATCAGAACGTGATCTTCAGCTTCCGCTGGAGCGGTTCGCAGCCGAGTGTGAAGCAGCTGGGATGAGAATCAGCTCCTCTAAATCTGAGACCATGGTCTTGATTCGGAAAACGGTAGAATGTCTTCTCCGGGTCAGGGATGAGGTCCTGCCACAAGTGGAGGAGTTTAAGTATCTCAGGGTCTTGTTCACGAGTGAGGGAAAACTGGAGCGTGAGATCAATAGGGGGATTGGTGCTGCATCTGCAGTGATGCGGGCGTTGTACCGGTCTGTCATGGTGAAGAGAGAGCTATGTCAGAAGGCGAAGCTCTCGATTTACCGGTCGATCTACGTTCCTACCCTCACCTATGGTCATGAACTTTGGGTAGTGACCGAAAGAACAAGATCGCGGATACAAGCGGCCAAAATGAATTTTCTCCGAAGAGTGGCTGGGCTCTCCCTTAGAGATAGGGTGAGAAGCTTGGTCATTCAGGAGGGGCTTGGAGTAGACCCGCTGCTCCTTCTGATTAGAACCTCACTGTATGAAGTCCTTCATGCTCAGCAAGGATCTGCCAATTTTTTTCATTTCAGTTAGCAGCAACGTTTGTGAAAAGTAAATGTTATCATAAAAAGATAAGAAAGCAGCAGGAATATAAACAGTAAATTGTTGTTTCAGTCAGATGAAGGGATTATTATCACTTTTAATGTAAAATTACTTAGTTAAATTAATTGCTGACTGAACGGGTCAACACATCAGTCATCTCAATGAGCCACACACGCTTGTTTCTGAGTCACATGTTAACTATTGACATATTTGTTAAATTTGACCTGTGAACGCAGCTATGAGTTTTAATGTACTGACCTTTATTTTGGCGGGTCGCACATGCAGCATTAATGATTTAAACATTTTTCAAGTGTGGAATTCAGTCAGAGTGCCCAAAAAGTCAAACACAAACAAGAAAATTTACATTTATTCATGTTTTTGCTGCAAAAAATAGAAAGAAAATAAGGGTTTGCTCCAGATTCTAATTCATTGCATTTAGAAACTTTTTAAAAGATGGCTGTTTATTTGTAAAATACATAAGAAAGTAAGAGATTGGTGCATCTTGCTAACTATAACTCACCCAAAATTTTGTTATTCCTGTGGCTCTTGCATCTAACAGCAGGTGATATCTGTTATATCTTAAGATCAGAAAACTACAACAACATTAAATAAGCTTGATGCATCTGAGTTAGTCTAGCAGCTGACGGAGGGGGTAGTGAAGCGTGTTGCTGCGTGGCTGTTGTAGTTGTGAGGAAGGAGCTGATGTTTTGAAGTCCGGCATGAAGGCTGATCTATCTTTTGGCAATAATTCAATGTTCATTGCAGAAAAAAAAGTAATGATTAGAAAATATTAGCCATCTAATACAGGGCTACATGACTCACAGGTTAAAACTGTGCTTGTCAAGAAGAAACAGACAGGTGTTCGGTTACCATGGCGACTCACATAAGCTACTGCCAGCAGCTGTAACATCCTCTGTTTTGAGGAAGAAGTTAAACATCCTCAGCTTCTTCCATTTACTGACAATTTTGTTACCAGGAGTCAAAAAGGGACAGAGCACACCCTTGTTCTTTGACAATCTAGCCTGAAAATGAAGAAAATGCCTTTTGTGTCTGTGTTTTGAGAGAGAACTTTCTGGTTAAACTGCATGGCTCACCTGCAGCCAAATCACAAGTACGTTTTACAGTTTGGTGACGCTTCAGCAACGAGCCATTCACAAAAACAACAGGGTGTGAGAGAAGTATGCAGCGAGACAAGACTTTCAGAAGCACATCCTGGCTGCAGGACTACGTCAACGACGGCCTGGCGCAGAAGTGCAATAGCACTGTCACACAATGAAACGTCCAGTCCCCCCCCCCCCCCCCCCCCCCACACACACACACACACACACACAAACACACACACACACACGCACAAGGCATTAGAATGAAATCCTTAGCAAAACATTTTATAGGAGAGGGTGTTTACAGTTTACAGAACAGAGCCACTCACACATGTGCATGAACACACATCAACTTGTGAACCATACACACACATGCATGCACTCACACTTTAGCATTGAAAGCATAAGCAAATATATTTAAACAATCTTTGACGTAAAACACACACAGACAAATGAGTAATTCTTAGAAGCACACAAGACATCTCTATTATATCTAAATGACATGGTGTGTGTGTGTGTGTGTGTGTGTGTATGTGTGTGTGTGTGTGTGTGTGTGTGTGTGTGTGTGTGTGTGTGTGTGGTGGGGGTGGGGGGGGGGCACGTGTCTGCGTCTCTGAGAGCATGCACAATACATCTCTAGGTAATTGGATCTGAGCACAACATGTCGACACTGCCAGCCAATCAAACATTTTTTTCTATTTCACAGACAACATTAAATCCCTCTGCAATATAAATCAGAAGCTTGAATAGTGTGTGCGTGTGTGTGTGTGTGTGTGTGTGTGTGTGTGTGTGTGTGTGTGTGTATGTGTGTGTGTGCACGCGCGTACACACACACACACACGCACGCACACACACACACACACACACACACACACACACACACACACACACACACACACACACACACACACACACACACACACACACACACACACGCGTGCACACACGCACCAAATGTTACATTTGATTATACAAGAAAGCAGCGATTTCATCTCCCAGGTATCAGCTTGTCCCAACTCATCCAAATGAAAATATGCAAACATGGATGAAGACAAGATGTTGAAGAAAAAAGACAAAACTAAAATGCTGTGTACTGATTTGGGGACAGTAGGAACAAAATGAATCACTTCAAAGTCAAAACAGACAAAGTCACTCTCACTAATTTCCTGCCTTTTATGTTTAAAGCTGTATTATGCTTGTTTCTCTGCCTATTGTTAGAGCTTATTCTGTCTTCCTCACACACACACACACACACACACACACACACACACACACACACACACACACACACACACACACACACACACGCACACACGCACGCACGCACGCGCGCACACACACACACACTTGCTCTCTCTAATGTCTCTCATTGCCTGAATCATCAGAGGAAGACAGAAGGCTGCAGCAACAGTAGCTGAAATGTACCTCCTGTTGAGAAAAGTTGAATTTTCACAAAGAACAAAAACAGGTAAAGGCTGAAATGTGTGTGTGGAGAGAGAGAGAGAGAGAGAGAGAGAGAGAGAGTTTTGTGGAAGAAGAGAGGGAAGAATGTGCCAAGTCTTTAGCAATCTACCTGTTAGTGTTGCACTAGTTGTGAGTTGTACTTTGAGAAGAAAACAAAGCTGTTAGATCCTACCTGGAGCTGTTCGGACAACGTGGTGGACGGTCTGGCACTCACAGCTGGGGCTGAACTCTCCTCGGGACGCAGGAACACTTGCTGACCACGTCTGCAGACAACAGAATAACAAACACAACCTCTTAAGAGTTTCTGTGTGTTTAACTTATCAGCTGTGCACACGTCAAGTCTCTAGGGACTGTGTGACAGTCTGCACTGCGCTGCGCTTTCAAACACGCACACTCTCAAACTATTTATCTGATGTTGGAATTGCAGGAATTTAAAGAGGTGTGTGTGTGTGTTGGATGTGAATGTGTTCACGTGTGTGAAGTCCTTACAGGTCCTTTGCTTTCTTCTTCTCGAGCGCAGTCATGTCATCTCCACCTGTCACACTCTGAGAGAGGGCGCTGGAGTCTCACACACACATTCACACACACACACAAACAGCTGCGCCGCAATGCACTCACTCTCACCGGCAGGCTGAGGCACACACTGGCGCGCTACCGCCACGATCAGCAACACATAGCGCTGATAGTGAGCTCAGTCCCTCCTCCTCTCTCCTCCCACCGCTGTCTCAATCTCTCTGCTCCTCCTCTGGGTCTTACTGCCTCCCTCAGCCCTCCCCGTTTCACCTCCCTGCTGTCAACACACACATCAGGTGGGGATCACTAAAGGTACCCTGCAGCATATGGACTCAACTCTGCCTCTGTTTCAGAGTAAAAATTATATTTTGGTGTAAGAAAATGAACCATATTATGGCGTAAAAACACCAATTTATGTGTTTGTTCAAACATTTTTAAATGACCATGTTTCTTTAGGGAAGAAGCAACCTTTTGACACATGGTGGTGACAGTTATTTATGCAAATCTGCAAAGAAAGAAAGGTTATTGTTTAAATTGTATGCGGTTTGACATGGTGTCATCGTTTAAAGATAAACAACCATGGGCTGATGTAAACAGAGCAGATTAAAAAGGCTTAAAGACATAATCACAGTGATTTTAGGAGGAAATAAGAACTGATCTTTCACATGGTCCATTAATATCATGAGCTGTGATGAAGCTTTTAGTGGAATCACACGTCTCCGTCATGAAGATGATCTGACAGAGTGATCCCAGTGTGGCATACAGCCGTCTTTTCAGAGGCGCCAAAATGAGTCATGAAATAAATATCATTCCTGATTCAAATGTTTTCCCAGAGAAACAGCCTGATCACGTGTGACACAATTAGGACACAAACAAAATGCTTCTGGGGGTTTAGAAACAGACCCCAAAACAAGAAACTGTCTTGAGTTTTCCCTTGAACAGATTTTATTTCGAAGTAGAATGAATTCATTTAAATTTGGTATTTTTCACAGTCACCCAGAAATATTCTTGATTTTACTGCATGTTGAGATGGTTTTGAAGAATAACTTGATGTGTTTTAAACAACCTGTGACTGACACTTAAACAATGTTTGGACAAGAAAATCCTCTACTCATTATTCTTATTGTACTTATCCAAGAATCGCGAAAACAAGCGGCCAAAGTGAGTTTTCTCTGGGCTCTCCCTTAGAGATAGGGTGAGAAGCTTTTCCATCCAGGAGGGGCTCGGAGTAGACCTGCTGCTCATCCATGTCGAGAGGAGCCAGTTGAGGTGGCTCGGGCATTTGATCAGGATGCCTCCTGGACGCCTCCCTGGTGAGGTTTTTCGGGCTCGTCCAACTGGAAGGAGACCGAAGGGAAGACCCAGAACACGTTGGAGGGACTATGTCTCTCGGCGAACGCCTTGGGATTCCCCCGGAAGAGCTGGCCCAAGTAGCTGGGGAGAGGGAAGTCTGGGCATCTCGGCTTAGGCTGCTGCCCCAGTGACCCAACTCTGGATAAGCGGTTGAGAATGGATAGATGGATGGATGGATGGATGGATGGATGGATGGATGGATGGATGGATGCCTATCCAGGAACTGGTTACTGAATCAGATTAAGGAATGAAACACAGACTCCCCTCTCCTCAGCAACACTCTCCACATCCTCCTGATGGATTCGAAGATGTTCCCAGACCAGAGACAACCAGTGATGAAATGTAATCAAGTCCAAGTACTTTGTTACTGTAATTAAGTACAGTTTTTCAGTATCTTACTTAAATTACTTTCTTGACGTCTACTTTTTACTAGGGATGCTCAATATATCGGCACCAATATCGGTATCGGTCTGACAAGTGAAACTGGCCCAATGTTAACAACCAATATTTGTTCCTTCTTGTTTATCTTTGTTTATCTGTTTCGGGGGGGGGGGGGGGGGGGGGGTGTAATTGTTTAGTCATGGGACAGTGATGGTAATCATCTCAGAAGCTTAAATGTGTGTGTGTGTGTGTGTGTGTGTGTGCGCGCGCGCGTGCGCACGTGTGTGATCTTGTTTGCAAAATGCACTTCATAGAAATAAATCAAGACATTAAAAACATCAGTTTGCATGATTTTCAGTCTATAAAAAATTTGCTGATTTCAGAAGATTAATGTCAAATATTGGTAATCAGCCATAGAAACGATATTAATATTGGTATAGCGGTGCATCTCTACTTTTAAATTTTGCTCCCAGTGTTTCTCCTAGAAATGTCTCCAGCTGTGGTGCTGCTTGCAAAACATTTTGCTTCCGTGCATCTCCAGTGAGAGTGTATGGGGGAGTGTGTGTGTGTGTGTGTGTGTTTGTGTGTGTGTGTGTGGGGGATTTCTCAGTCATGGCAATGCAATTTCAGCTGTGGTGCAGCCCCATGACTGAGCCCATGTAGGGGAAACACTGTACTCCTTTTCTAAAAATTTGTACATTGTACTTTTAAGTACTTTAATGCTTTTAATTAAGACACACATTTCTTGGATAATTCCACCTTTAGGTTTTTTTTTATCTCCTTATCTGTACTTTTACTTAAGTACTCCTTCCAACACTGGGAGCAGGGGGGTCCAAACATTTCACGATGTGAGCAAAAATCATGTTATTGGTCCTTGTGGACCACAAGATTGTTTTTGATTTTAGTTGTAATTTGTACTCATGTAGTTCCAAAACATGCATATCAGTAAGAATCTAAAGTGTTGATCGACATGGAGAACCAAACGGACAGACAAAATTCATCATTCTAGAAATGCAAATGGGGGCCACAGGAAATAGGGCTGCAAATGGCTGCTGGGCTGCACTTTGAACACACTTGCATTATCTGTAAAATGTAAAAAATAAACAAGGTGTGTTAAGTGTCTCTTTCCATGAAAGTTATGGTTTTGTTTGAGTTTTTTGTTTATACCTTTCCTTGCTCTGGGTGCCATGAATAACAGCATCAGTGTGTAATGGACCAGAATAAAGACAGCTGTTGGAGGACATTGCTTATGTGACTTTGAACAAACTCTACAGAATTTGGCACTTGCCATTGATTTCTGTTGCAAGTAGACCAGAGTCCTAAGTGACACCTCACACTGATCATTACCGGGAATTCAAATCTGCACAGCTTCAGTCTCACTGCTAGAAACAATCAATCACAATCCGGCAAAAACACTTTTCACTGCATCATTTGTTAACAGGGTACCATTTTTTACTTCAGTAACTTTGAAACTCATTTTCATGCACAGTGCATTTTATGCTCCTTTCTGTGCTGAGGCTCACATTATTGCAATATGTGGGGTTAATTGGGGCTGCACATTAGGATGTAGTAATTTCCCAACAGCTGGAAAAAAAGTAGTAGGAGTTATTGTGTTTATCCATTAATGTTTCAACTTATTAGTCGGCAGTCCTCACATTCCCCTCGTGGGTGTTTTATTTTCAGAAACCACCACAGGTTTGTCTCCTGAGAATAAAACGTAATCTAATGATAAAATACATTTTAAGAGCTCTGTAGTTGCTAAACATGCATTAAAGCGCCATTCAGAGGCTTAAAACTGTTATGAATCTTGGAAAATTAAAAAATGTAAGGTTCCTACAAAGCTATTTAACCCTCTGGAGGCAGGTGTTGCAGATTTGCAACGTTAAAACCTACCTACCTGGTTACGCCACATACGTATTTCATGAGCATTTTTTAACTCAGGAGTACCCCTGAAGGACTTAGTTGTTCGTCCTTTTATCAAAACTTATTTTGAGCCCGAGAGGGTTCAGGACCAAGTTCTCTGAGAAATAATTTTTTACTTGTCTTTTTTATGTTTAATATGATCAGTCACTGAGTTTCACATGCAAGCTGAGTATGAAAACAGTTCTCTACCCCTTTTTTCTGCATTAGCCGCCGATAGAAAAGCAAGTCAGATCTATGTTACACTGAAATTAACATTGATAGACTTAGCCATCTTGGCTCACGACGGGGAAAGCTGTTGTTGTTTTAATGTCCAGGAAACAGCAGAGAACATCTCAGCTAGTAGAAGCTAACTGTTAGCGTTAGCAACTCAGCAATAACTTGGCAGATTTCCTTCAGGCTTGTGTTTTCATCAATGCTGCAGAGCAAACTAAGTCAGATGTATTTACGTTGCCGTTCACCGGTCAGAGGCGAGATGTCCAAATATCAGGAAATAAGACTCCAAAGCTTGCTGTCCGCTGCTCTCCTCTGCTCTGGTTAACTTCTACTTCCTGAAAAAGGATTTTTTATTAGAGACCACAGCAAATGTGTTGAAAAAAATGAGTGAACGTGGTCTTTGAGTTTTAACATAACCCTCCTGTTCAGTGCATTACAAGACAGAATTTATACAGAAGTAAACATGCTCTGGTGCATATTCCAGTGGGTGTTTCTTGTTCATGTGCTCTGTTGTAATAACCCTGAGGCTGACTGTTTTGTACACATGGTAAAAGGTTATTCCAGTACAGCACAGCCCCATAGACTCTATTGACCAGAGTTGGATAACAGCCTCAAGACACACAGAGAGATAATCAGAAATGCACACAGTTCATAATAAAAGTTCTGCGAAGGTCTGGCTACAAATAGAGCCCTGACAAACACACACACACACACACACATACACACACACACACACACACACACACACACACACACACACACACACACACACACACACACTCATGGATGAAAGCAGGCCATCTATTCACCTGACAAGTACTCCAGTTTGGAGCAAAATTTCCCTGAAAGAGTGCTTCTCCTCAATCATGGCAGACTCACA